AAAAAAAAGAAAAAAAGAAAAGAAGAAGGAATTCAATATGCAGAGAAGTGCTCCAGATGTCACAAAGCAGCATGAGACCCAGGTCTATAACCTGCCTGCAGGAATCAGATAAGCTGCTCTTCTGCAGGCTCCAGTTGCTACACATCAAAAGAGAAGCATGAGATTAGAAGTATCTCTGCGACTGTGCTGCTGCTGTAACATATATTTGCTACTTCACTCCTCTTTGCAAAGCAGCTGGATTCATGCTTTTCCTCTCTCCAATAAGGAGTTTGCTGTGGAGAGTACCAGCCTTATGGGGTTTCTCCTTCATAAGTTTCTTCCCTACTTCCCATTCAGAAAACTACCCCTTTCCCCCAAACAGTGAAAAGCCGCTGACATCCCCCATGCAGAGGAAGTGTTAGGAGGGAAATAAGACAGTGTTAAAACCTAGTCACCCAGAAGAGCTACTCACCCAGAAGTCATCTGGAAGCTGAGAATTGTTTGTGAGCATTTGGGAACAGGGACTTGCTGCTTCTGTTTGAATATGTGAAGGGGATGGAAAGGATATCTAGTGATTTGCTGTCTCTCCATTTGTCCCCTCATGTTCCTATGAAACAGGACTTCCATTTATATTGATTTGCCTCTGAAATGGCCACAAGCCATTCTTCTTCACCTCAAGGCTGTGCAACTCACAGACCAGACTTCCTCCTTTTGCCTGTCCTTGGTTGTCCTACTTGGAGTTTGTGTATTAGGCATAGCAATGACATGCCACATCACATTCAGGGAGCCCAGGCTCCCCACAGGACAGTTTTGAGTCCACAGGGAAATGAACAACCCCTTTGTCATTTGTGACTTGGAATAGATGGACAGGAGAGAGACCATATGGTAGAAGAGCTGGTCTGTCTGGTGTTTGCAGTGGCATCTCTGTTGATAAAGGGACTGCAACTGTTTGTTAATAAATACAGTTTGAATGGCATGGCATTGTCCATAATCCCAAGCACAGGGTCACTCTAACACCTGATAAATGTGTGTTTTGTCTATGTCCTGCACCAGGCAGCTACAAGTGAATCAACTTTATGTTCTTTTTCACAGTTTGGTCTGTCTAATTTTTATGGTTCTTGCAATCTGCTCAAAGTTTAAGCTGGTTACTTTTTTAAGTGCAACCTAAAAAGCTGAAACACTCTGCTTGCAGAACCGTAACTACTTCAACTTTATGGCCTGAGATAAAAAGTCCTCTCCCACTGACCCCCTCCTAGAAGGTTGTTAAAATTAAGGGCAGTGTATTAAAAATCTGTTGCATCTTTTACTAGTGAGTCATAACCTGTTCACTTGTGGGAAAATGAGCTTGCCAGTCTAGTAAGTATCTGAATTGCTGCCTTTCCAGTCTTCGAGAGGTGTCTGTTCTTTGTTTCCAGGTGGTTGTCATGATGGAAGCTATTCACCGCAGGGAAAGCAATAATTTAACACATACTGTAATACAGTGCAGTAGCCCAGAGTCTGATGATACTAGCTGGAAAGGACAGAAATCTTTTAAAACAGAACAAATTTACTTTCTGCATAAATTAGACAAAAACATAATTTGGGGAAGCAGATAGTGCAATTAAATGTTCTTTTTTGGTTTTGTACTTTCTAGGCAATAGAAGTGGAGGCAGAGGAGATGAAGCAACCTGGAGTAACTAACTCGTGGAGCAATGTAGAATAAAGAGGGCAGTAGTGAAGCATCTGCTTGACTCAGCAGTTTCCTCCAACAGAATCAACTAATCCCTAGGCTCCTAACATGCATACACACACACACCTTATACAATTGGATTTTAGACATACATATACACTTTCATAAGCATGAATATTATATTTAAGGTACTTTCTACAAACATTCTTACCTTCTATTTGCTCCATTTCATTTCCATCTCAGCAAAGGTAATTGTTGAGGATGCTAAGGCAATTTATAGACACCTGTGGGCTCATAAATCTTATGTGCTTATCCTAGAGATGTTTTACATGGTAAAAAAAGAACTATTGTACCAAATCTGATCTCTGACAAAGCAGACACAGGCCAGCCCTGTAGTGATGGCAGCTGCTAGATGGTTTATTATAGAGGGTAGAATGGAGACTTGTGCAGTGTGTGAAAAAATTGACCCTTCCTTAAGTTCCTTCCCTTCTATGGATTCTTCAACTTCTTCAGGAAAAGAAAAAAAGACTAAAAAATTTGTGTAACTGTTAGGCTTTCAAGAAAAGGTCAACCATCCATATCAAGGTCCCAGTGATGGGTACTAGACTAGAAAGCATTTCAGAGTGTTTTGAGTTAGCAAAGCATTTCAGAATATTAATAATGAACAACATCTGAAAACAATGAATGTGCTTGGAGGAGGAATATTTCCATTTCGGGTAACCAATTTTAGGCCTCCTACTTAGCCACCCAGTCTCCCATGGACCCTTCTACAGTCCATGGAGGAAGACAAGTTGCTTCAGGAGAAGACTGAGGATGACTCTGCATTAGTAACTCAGCTCAGGAATGCAGTTTAGATTGTGCCCACTTACTCTCCCCTAATTCAAATGGCATGGTCTCTGCACATGAACGAGATTAGTCCGAAATGTACTCCAGCCACTATTGTGCATTCAATTTATAAGGACCGGACAAGAGCTAAACTGAAGTAAAACCCTGAAATGCACAAACTGTGGGCGCTGGGTCCTCGGCATGAGCTGTTTCACTCCATAAACCCATTCCTGCTGAGTTGCGCTACTTACTAATGCAGAGATAAATGACTAAGTTTGGTACTGGATCACCTTTAGGGTGTTCAGCTCGCAACTCTCTGCCTGCTTCAGAAGGAGCTTAGGGTATGCCTAGCCACCTAACTCAGGCTTCTTAAACTAGACACTGGAAGAGGAGAATGGAAATACTCCTCTCTTCTCCCATCTGTGTCTGTGTTTACAAATGAGACTCCCACACAACTGAGGAGTCCCTTCCTCCTTTAATTAAATTGATGAGTTGACCATGGTGAGTGGCTACACTGAATCTTTTAACTTCTTATGAATTCATGCTATAAGCAGTCTCTCTGCCTGACCATTAATTTAAATACTCATGCAAAATCTAGGATTACTTGGTGCTTTTCTCTTTTTCATGCAGGCTTATAATGACCTTAAAAGCATTAACTCAATGTGAGGTCACAGTTATTTTAGCTGCGGATCAGTTGCTTAATAACAGTTTTCTGAGAGTCCTGTAATCATGCAGGCTGTAAGGCTCAGGTAATTCTTTCATTTTCTGCCTACATATTAATGGATTTAACCACTCCCATGCACAAAAAGGAGAAATGAGTTAAGGGAAGATTTTCAGTACTTGGGTTTACAGTGTCCAAAACATACAGAGAAGCATGTATCTGCAAAATTAATCAGCTATTTCTGTAACTACATAAGAAATCAAATGCTGTTTGAAAGTCAAACATCAATATAGTCACCTCATACAGTACAAACAGGATCTCAGTGTTTTACCATTAGTAACTAATGGCTTGTCTTTGACTATACCTTAAGTCAATTTAAGAAGTTTATAGGCTGCAGTAGGCAAAAGCTGATAGATTTATTTTTAGTCATAATTTTTAACGGATCAAAATTTAGTCTGATTATAAAGTGAACTTTCTCCTGATGAATAATTAAATGTTCCATAAGCAAAATATTTGATTTTGACATTACTGTGATACTGCCTGGCTTTTTTAGTGTCAGAAATATTTATGATTTTAAATAGGACAATGCGTGGTAAAATGTTTAAAAAAACTGCAAAACTAACAGAATATGTTCCTGCCTCATAATAAACAATTGTTGAATGATGTTTATTAAAATTGGCTCTCAAGTGACAGTTAATAAATGCATAGTTCTATTATGCATGCTAAATTCAGCGTCCCGAAAATTTAAAAGCAGATAGATCAAAACAACGAAGATAAAGAAGTCACAAAGACAAAATACAGCAACACCAGTAAATGACAGGGAAATAATTCAGACTTAAAAATGACTTATTTTAAAAGCAGATAGATCAAAACAACGAAGATAAAGAAGTCACAAAGACAAAATACAGCAACACCAGTAAATGACAGGGAAATAATTCAGACTTAAAAATGACTTATTATTTAGTAACTGGTAACAACAATTTATAGAACTAAATTAGAGGCAAATCAGAGTCTTTCTGATGTTTTAGATATGCAATTTCTCTAGTGCATACAGTTTGATCATACAGCAGAGGAATTCACATTACAAAGTCCCCTTCAAAAAAGCAAAAAACCCTGTTTCTCTATGTTTCTGCTTCCAGGTTACACTTATTCATGGATAATGAATGAAGGAAAAAAAAGGGTACAATAGAATTCAATTGTTAATCTATTTTAATTAAAACTCCCAAACATTTCTTCAGTATTTGGAGAAGTTAGGCTGTCTATATGTGGTGTGTTTCTATGTATGTTTCATGTATGCCCAGACCATATCTGCACCGAACCGCACAAGTACTGGATTTAAGGGGCTTTGCGTCCTTTACTGTAATCACTCCATTGGCTCTTTGATGTTGCATAGGTTTGGTGTGATGATGGAAAGAGTTGCTTCGACCATGTATTTTCACCTCTGTTTCTAAAAGGTGAAGGGCAAAACTTTAATCAAGGAGCAGTTTATCTTTAATTAGGAAAAATATAATTAGGTATTATCACCTAATTGTTATTACTGATGGAGAAAGTAATATTTTCACAAGTAGTGACCCATGCTGTATTATCACTCTGCTGTTTACCGCATAATGAATCTGTATTTGTGTTTGGCAGCTAGCCAGCAAAAATTAAAAGGTAATCGACATGCTTCTCTGCAGTCCGGTCATCAAAGTCACTGGCTTCACAGATGAATAAATAACAAAGTCAAGTTGTGATGTCCTAACAGAAACCCTTCTTCAGGAATAACTATATTTATCTCCTCTGTCAAGACATCAAATGATACTTGAAATAACCATATACAAAAAGCTTTGCAAAATAGATTAGAAGAACTGTGCTATACATCTGGTGTTGAGTTAAAAAACAGTTTAATGTCTCAAGGCACCACCACGGTAGAATTTTATACCTGCAAGTAATCATCTAATACACTATTATACAGTTAAGGTAATGTATTAATAAATAGCTTGTGCAATTTTGGGAAGCAATCTATAAAGGAATGTTAGATATACAGTAGGCACATACTATAATACAAATAAAAACCAAAATTCCTAGAAAAAGCATGCTGAGCACCTTTTGGTATAGGTTGAGTTTCTTAGTCTAAACACTATGTAAATCTTAACTTACAAAAGCTAAAACTGAAATCTTATAGTAACTGCTTATTTAAACTGATTTTCCTGGGCATTTGCCTCTATGTCACAGGATTACTCTTAGGGACAGAGGACTCTGGTACTGGCTGTAAAGGGCTATCTTGTTCATTCAGTTGTGCATTCAAGTTTTCAGAAGTTAGGAGGGAAGAATTAAAAACTATTTCACTTAAGTCTGATTTTATGGATACGAGATGTGGTTCTTGAAAACCTAATGGTTCTTCTACTAACACCTGTGTATTTTCTCGTGTCATTCCCACATCTGACGGTGACTTTCGTTTCATTCTTGTGTATGATTTGTCTAAATTCTCCATGCCTTGGTCAGTTTTCTGAAATCGCCCAAAGAACCAGATGAAGAAACCAAACAAAGCAAAAGCCAGCAAACTTGGAATAAAAGCCAGGCATTTGACATCAAGGCTAGAGCCTGTGAATCTGCTGTGCAAGAACATGTCTCCTTCAGCATAGGTCCGGTTGGTCAATGGGTTAGTGTTATTGGATCTCCATTCCCAAGATAACTTAGTTCTATTAAGGTCTTTCAAGCTTTCTGAGTCCTTCACTGTGTAGATCTTCTGTCCAGGACCGATATATTGACCGTATTCATGAGGTTTGTAAAATATTTGGTTCTTCCACATATTCAGATCCAAGATTAAAACAAGGAAGATAATTCCATAGTTAAACCATTTGCCTGTTTGGAAAAATGAAAGTTCTGTCATCTGATATATTCATTTTAGAAGCAGTACAAATGCAGTCATATGTAAAAGCTACTCAGAGAAAAAAAATCCTTTTTTTATCAATCTGTAAAGCAAAGTTGTAATAAAATTTCCACCACAGTCAAGTTTACACTGAATATCCCCTAGTATTTCACAATTAGGTCTGGGCACATAATAAATTAATTTTGTAATGCAAGCACAGCAGTATATCAATTGAATTCACATTGCAGTTTGTAGATGACCTGTTGATTAGACCACTAGGTGATGTGGTATAGATCAATAAACATAAAAAAGCATTAATTCCAGGGCTTAAAAAATATTCACACAGAAATTTTCCATGAAAAGGCCATATTTGGTAGAAATGTTTATATGCCAGGAATGACTGAAGTGATTGAAGTTTTTGGGGTTGGTAATGATATAAATTTTAAGACTATATACATATATTGTTTGGTATACCAACCATGGTGCACAGACATATTCAGGTGGGGGCAATTGGATAAACTGTCATTTAGAGATATTCCACCCTTGAGAAATAGCAAGGGCTGATCGTAGTCTTGGGAGGCTAGTCAGCTTAGCTTTTCCTGTAGTCCGTGTAGTGAGAAACTCCTCCAAGGAGTGACTCATAGTCTAACATTAAGCTCCTGCAATACTGGAGGAGGAAACCTTTTATTATTTAAAATTGCTCTTTTGCATGCTTCCTCCAGCCATCCAAAAAACATTAAAGATAACTTTATGCAATTGCAAAGTTGGCCCTGCTTTGAGTAGGGTGTTGGAACAGATGAACTCCAGGTGTCCCTTCTAACCTAAATTATTCTATGAATACACAAAGCAAATGATACTACTTTCATAGTCAAAGCATCTCTTACATTCTAGCGGGCCATATGTTAAGATCTTACCTGTGCAGTGATGACTGGCACCACCCAAGAACCCAGCAAATCTACATGTCAGCATTATGTGAAAGGACATTCATGGAGGAATGTTCCTGCTGGTGATGAATGATATTGCTCTATGCTGGAATCATATTTAAGTATGTTTCAAGTCAAAAAGAAAATGAACATATCAGAGTATCTATCAAATGACTTATGCCATTAGCTTGTAAAGAATAAATGGATTCCAGTTCCTGAAAGTCTGTGTGTTCAAATTGTACAACCAGAATGCTCCAGGAGGGTGAGGGTAGCTCCTTGTATTTCAGCAATTGTGTTTAATAGTCCTTTTCAGTCTAGATTATACTTAGACTGAAAATGAACAAAAATGTTCATTCTCTTGTGTTCTCACTATCCAGAAATCAAACTGCACTGAAAAGACCTTGCAGCCAATCCTGTTCACATAATTCCTTAATAACCCCTCTATCTTTTTTTCTGGGTTTTCATCAACATTATAATTGACCTGTTAAAGAAAATTATGGTTTTAGAAGATTATCACCACATTTTATAATATTTGTTTTTTAAATCAACATCAAGACACCAAAAATGATGCTAAAATATGAAATACAATAACAAACAATACAATCCAGCTTGATGCTTGTCGTGGTTTAACCTTAGCCAGCAAGTAAGCACCACACAGCCGCTCGCTCACTCCCCTCCCAGTGGGATGGGGGAGAGAATTGGAAGAGTAAAAGTGAGAAAACCCATGGGTTGAGACGGGTTGAGATAAAGACAGTTTAATAGGTAAAGCAAAAGCCGCGCACACAAAAAAACCCAAAGCAACACAAGGAATTCATTCGCTACTTCCCATCGGCAGGCAGGTGTTCAGCCATCTCCAGGAAAGCAGGGCTCCATCATGCGTAATGGTTACTTGGGAAGGCAAACGCCATCACTCCGAATGTCCTGGCTGTGCCCCCTCCCAGCTTCTTGTGCACCTCCAGCCTTCTCAGTCGGTAGAGCATGGGAAGCTGAAAAGTCCTTGACTAGTGTAAGCACTACCTAGCAACAACTAAAACATCGGTGTGTTATCAACATTGTTCTCACCCTAAATCCAAAACACAGCACTGTACCAGCTACTAGGAAGGAAACTAACTCTATCCCTGCCGAAACCAGGACAATGCTGTTTCCTGCGGATTTTTGTCCTGTATTTTGTGTGTTTCTCTGCATCAGAATAACCCTAGCTTCCCCATCACGTATGGTCTTTCAACAGACAGAGACAGAATATATCTTGCATATTGCGTGTTGATGGGCTGGCTGGGACACACATATTCACTGATCAATTGGCTGCTGTCAAACAGAATATAATGGCTGACTTCTCCCTGCTTTTTCCTCAGCTGGGCACTAACTTAGATGATTCTCCTTTACCTAACCACCATTTCTTAGGACACAATGATAACATCACTGCTTTTCAGATTCCCACCCTCTGAAAAATGTTTTTGAAACTGGCCGTGGGTTCAAAAGTTATTTGATGCTGAGTGTTGGATAGAGAGAGAGTGAGACCAACCCACACAGAGAACATGATCACATAATTCTCATTTCCTTAAGAAAATAGGCTAAACACAAATGACAATGAAACAAATATTAGAGCCACTATCTGTTTATCTATGGCCAGTTTGAAAGAAAATACGATTTGCTGCATTCTAAACTTCCTTTCTCTGTTACACTTTTTGAAACAATAATTTGCCATCAAATATTACTCTGTGTTTCAACCAGAAAGCTGTTTCAACTAGAAAGCAAACCCTTGCTCCATTGCCCCAAGTTAATTCCTTAAGCCATATTCCTTTCCCAGGAAAACGCATCATAAGCCCATCCAAAAAAACCTTCCACTTCTTTTGTTATTGGCTTAATCAAAATATTATCTTCGGTACTTTGTGTTTCCGCAGAGCCAAGACAGGTGACTTTCCAGAGAGATCTGCTATACCCTAGGGATGGTAGGAAGGGGAAAAACTTATGTAGGACCAGTATTGCTCTTTCCCTTCAGCTAGACATGGCAAAAGCGAAGATGTGTAGGGAGAAAACAGACAACTGAAAGATCAAAATACGAAGCATAATAAAACGGGGGCATTATTGAGATGGCCTTTATAAAGGCCAAAATACACTGTTATGGTTTTCTTGATTGTAGGTTTCAGGTATGACTGACAAAGGAAACTTAGACATTGCAATGCTGAGCTATGACCTACCTCCTCTTTAGGCATGATGGCACCCAGTGGCTTTTGCAGCAATCACCCGAGTGTCCACATTGTCCTAAATGCGACATGTGTAGAGCAAGCCACCTAAGCGGTAAGACTTGAGACGGCAGCCTGCTGCTGCTGAAGAAGTTGACTAAGCAGCTAGCAGAAAACACTAAAAATGCTGAATAGAGGTAGCCAGGTGCTTGATCTCAGGCTTCAAGAGGTATCTATCCTACATCGTGGTTTCAAAATTGTGAATCTCTTCTAAGATGGATCTGTCTAAAAAAGGCTCCACCCCTCTTATGTTAAGAATTTGAGTGCTCACCTGATCTAAGAGAGATATGCATTTCAATTATTCCTGTTTCATAAAAAGCATGAACTTGAAACTCCCTCACTCAGGTCCTAGACAGAGTTAGGCAGGCAGGAGCACAGCCCTAAGCTCCACTGTTGGGATCATTGGGTCAGTGTGGACTATAAAGGGTGCTTAGACAAACAGCTTAGATGCAGACACCCCAGTTAACTAAGATGAATCACAATCTGTATGTCTAAGTGGCAGCTAGTTGCCTGAGACCTGCCTCTGTTCTACAGTGGATTTTCTCAAAACTCCTTAAATTTCTCATTTTTAGACAATTTTTCCATCCTCTGCATCACTGTCATGCTCAATGAGCTCTATGATTTTTCCTTTTCTTTTGAAAACTTGTCACCAGAACCAAACACTGTATATGAGTAACACTCTCACTATAACCATATATGAACACAATGACATCTTCCTACTCCTACTCAGTATTCCCTGTAGCCAAGGGCTGCGTTAATCTCCTTAGACACAAAATGACTGGGAGTTAGTGCTGTCTTGGTTACGTACAGAAAATATTTGCCTCTTTCTAGAAGTGTCCTGTGCTGTCTATCCCTCTTCCAAGACATGTACTTTACTGCCGTACTAGCAGGCATGATAGCCAAATAAGCCCAGTTTACCAAGCAATCCTTCTAGATCAGCCATAAATGTATTGAAGGTTACTGAACCAAGAGGCCTGACAGTCTCCACTCACAAACATCTATTTGATGATAATTCCTCATGATAAGTACTTTTTGAGACTTACTATACTGACCAACCTTTAACATTATACACATGTATAATCTATGTATATGATATGCTTGTCTATTGCAACTTAATTTTAGCAAAATTTTTTTTTATAGCAAACTTTAAGTCATATATCAAGCTTATATAGGAAATAAGCTGGGTAAATTAGAAGTCACTCTTGACCTCTTACCTTACGCATAAACAAGCTCAAGCTTATAGTTCTGCAAAGAGTCAGAATAAATATGTTATGAAGCTATAGATATTAATTTTCTTAATATATATATATAATTTCTTTTACAATGTTTCAAATTTCATTACAGATGAAAAGTGGTAAGGGAAAATGGAGTCCCACACTATGAAGTAATTTAATTTGCCTCTTAACCAGTATCTGTAGGATCAGTACCACTATTGCTCTAGGGCTGGTTCTATTCCAGAGAGGTCTGTGTGGCCAAGAATACTGGCCTACACCGGGCACCATTTAGCACTTCTTGGAGCAGGTCGATTTTTCATTGACACGATTTGAAATGGAAGGATGTAGAAAGATCAGCTCTCAAGACTGGAAGGCTAGTTAATCATTTCAGCAAACTGCAAAGAATTATACCCAGACTCTTCAATGAAGTTACAATGAAGAAAATGAGGTAGTAAAATAGGCTGTGTCATTCAGCCATGTACTACCTAAAGAAAGACATGGTTGATAACTGGCTTTCACAGCGCTGACATCCTTACATGCTACACATGACATTTGGAGAGCCAGGAATCTGGTTTGGTGTATTTGGAAACGTGGTGCAATATTGAAATTTGGT